AACCAGCTGCTGTGCAGACGGCGTGCGGTGGCCGTGCATTCGGGCAAGGGCCCTGCAGAGGTACCTGAGCAAAGCCCTGGACGCTAAGCCAATCCCAGCCAGGCAAAGGGTTCTAGGCACGGGGAGGCACAAAGATGGAAGCCCTGAAATGCAATGTTTGGTCCTGGTAAGGCCTGGCCAGAAAGCTTGTGTGGCTGTTAACACTGAGCTGTGTTATGTGTCCACAAAGAGGAGGGGAGAGGGGAGAGAGGAGTGAGCAGCCAACACCAGGACGAGGGCTGTGGGTCACGGGGACGGGGGAAGTGGAGGCTTTGACACAGAGGAGACAGCAGTGACAGAGGCAGGCCCAGTCCCTGTCCCGAGTTACAAGGCTGGTGATAAACAACATGGGGAGATGGGTCACTAGGCCCTGCTCGGTCAGGACCACTGCCTGTCAACCTGCCTGGCTGCTCTCTCAGGGCCTCCCCCGACACCCGGCCAGTGAACACCTGGGAGCAGCCGCCACTCCCCAGCGGCCTCCTATCGAGGCCTCCAGGGCAGAAGGCGCCCAGCAAGGAGTAATGCGCTGCTCTTGGAGGTCAAAGCCTGCCCTTGGAATGAAGGCGCTGGCCCGTGGGACCCCAGGGTCACTCCAGGGAACAGCTTCTGCTCTGGGGAGAGGCTTCCTCGTGGGCTAGTTTTGGACACTGCCTGCCTTGGCAGCCCCAGGACAGTAGCCATTGCTGAGTCACTGGGACAGGTCCAGGAGAGCCCTGACCATAGGGCTGTGGCACCTCATAGCCACCGAAGGCTCCAGTCTAGACCTGGTTGAGCCTGCTCACTCCCACATGCCGGCCACCATGGGCCCCTCCCTCCCTGGCCAGGGGCACGCACAGCAGAAATGCCATGGCCGAGGACCATCAACATAAAAGTGGCCAGTGGAATTTGTGATTTCTTTCTAAGCCAAATGGAAAAAGGAAAACATACCCAAGTGCTAGTCACCTATTAGCCCCGATTAACGTGCTCCTGCAGTAGCTCCTCCCAGGAGGTGAAAGGTGTATTTTCATCAAACACAGTCATTGACAGCCTCTCCCGGAAGACCAACTGCTCTCTGACCACCACCCGGACTCGCAGATGCGAGAAGATGGGGCCCCAGAAAGCAGACCGCTCCAGCAGTCACTCCGAGGCTTGCGGCCGGCACTGGTTCCTTCCTCGCAAATCCTCCCCCAGGCATGGGATGGGGACACCACCACTGTGGAGGTGCGAGGGGTCACACACAGGAGGCCTCCTGGGCCTTCTCTGATGATCAGCGCCCCCACAGCCTGCTCGCCCAGCCTGCGCTTTGCCTTCTGCACTGCACTTGTGAGGAAGGAGAGGGCACGACATTCAGTCAGTGTGCGACCACCCCGACCTCCTACCTGGGGACACCTGCCCGGCCGCCCATCTGGCTCACTGTGGCGACAGACAGGAAGCACAGCAATGCTAGTCAAGACCCTCCCCCGCTGCCCCAGGTGGGGCGGGGTGCGTCTCAGTCTCCTTGTTCAAGGGTCCCAGATGAAACCACCAGAGGTCTAGGGCCCCAGAAGGCATCTCCTTGTCTTTCTGGGAGAAGCAGATGGGATCGCCCCCGGGGTTCGGTCTTCATTGACCAACACTGAATCGAAGGCACGGTACTAGGTGCTGAGATACAGCAGTGCACGGGACAGACCAGGGCCACCCAGGCAGGTGACGATCTACCCAGGAAAGAGACTGTGACCAGGTACACTAATGCCTGGGCCAAGTAAGGAACGGCTGCCAGGCTAATGGGATGGCGCGGGGGGTGGGGTAACCCAAGCCGGGGACTAAGCAGAAAAGGCCTCTGTGGTGGCAGCCACTTGGTGCAGCAGCTGAAGTTACTGCCTCAACACTGGCATCACACATCAGAGCGCTCGTTTCAAGCCCCAGCTCCTCTGCTTTGATCCAGCTTCCTGCTGAGGTGCACCCTAGGAGACAGCAGATGATCGCTCAAGTACTTGAGTCCTGGCCACCTGCACGGGAGACCTGGATGGAGTTTCCAACTCTTGGCTTTGCCTGGCTCTGCCTTGGCTATTGTAGGCATTTGGGGAGTAAACCAGCGGGTCGAAGATCTCTCTGTCTCTCTCCGCCTTCCAAATAGAATGAACATAAAGATTCAAAAACCATGTACAGATACACAGCCAAAATTTCCAACAAAATAAAATAAACAAGCAAGAGAGACGACCTCTGTGAGAGACCTAGAGAACAACTGATGCAAAGGCCCTGAGGCAGGCAGGGGCTCAGGGACTGCCTCACAGCAGTCACTCAAAGCTTGCTGTGGGGATTGGTGCTTCCACAAGAACAAGACATCACTTTCCTTTTAAACTCATTTTCCCAGGGGCATACGGGAAAGTTCTCCAGAGGCCACGCAACGTATGCTGTCACAACGGAGCCAAAGCAGAAGCAGAGAGGGGAATCCAGCTGTCTTCTATTAAGCCAGACACTAAGGAGACTTGAAAAATTATAAAACAATTTTTGTTTGTTTTGGAAAACAGTTATTGTTCACATAAGTTCACAGGCAATGGCTTTACTAAATGCGTACATCTTACAAGCACGGCCACAAATATCGGTACAAGTCACATTGACTAAAGTCCTCTGGGTTTCTCAGGACAGCTCTGAGGCGGGTGGACCTCCAGCGTCAGCAGGCCAGGGCACAGATGGAGCGAGCAGCGTGGCAGGGGCCAGCCCTCCTGGTCCTCACACAGACCAGAGGGACAGACGTGGGGTTTACTCTACGTGCAAGGGGAAGCTACTGGAAGGCTGGCAGCAGGGTCCTGGCATGATCTGATGTATGTTCTAGAAAGATCCTGCTGGCTGCATGGAGGGGAGGGGACACGGAGGACGCTGCTGCTGCGATTCCGGAAGCCCTGTGGGAGGAGAAAGGGGGAAGGACCTTCTGGGGGTCGAGGACGTGCTGGATGTGTGGAGGGGGAAGAGAAGGATTAGGGTTGTTTCCCGGAGGCTGAGTGTCGCTGTGGCAGCCCTGCCTACTGAGAAGGCAGGCAGGGAGGGGCAGGGAGCTGAAGTCACTCCTGTTCACGCCACGCCATGGCGGAGTGGCAGCGAGGCCTCTCTCCCTGCAGGGGACGTGAGTGGCACCTCCATGGGCAGTCAGGGGAGAGACCCAGCCAAGGGTTGGATGGCCACCTGCAGAGGCTGGCTACCTGTGACTTGCTGTAGTCCCACTCGGCACTGCCGCCTGGACCAGTGTAGCCCCGATGATCTCCCAGCTCCCCTGGGAGCCCCGGCAGGGCGGGTGAGGTGAGAAGTCAGCATACAGAGCGGCACACAGAGAGACGGCAACACAAGTCCCAAAGGAGGCCACATTTGGCTCAGCTGCTTGTTCCAGGGAGGACTGGGTGGGGATAATCCTGGTGCTTTTCTCCTTAACCAGGAAGTCTCCAAACTCAAAGAGGCCCCATGACCTAAGGGAAAGAACTTCTTCTAAGGCCACTCTGCCTTCAGTTAGCCTGGGCTCTCGGCCCTCAATTAGGTATACTCAGTGACCGTTGCTGTAGAATGAGAAGCAACCTGGAGAACTTTTTAACAAAAAATCCTCCTGGCCCAGGCCCAGGCCCAGGCAGAATCATCTCGCATTTCCTAGCTGAGAACAGAGGTGGTGCCACAATCAGTCTCGCAGCCTAGGGTTGGTTTTGAGAATGCAAACAATTCGCAAGGCAAGTGAACTGTGGCCCTTTTCTCGAACGTTCACATTGGGACGGAGAGCGAGTGACATGGTCAAAGCCCTTCCCTGGGACTCAGCAGACGCCCTGTTGGGAATTTACCCCCCAGACACGAGAAATTTCTACAACTACACAAAGACACTCCAAGGGTGTTCACTGTGACACCGTAAAAGCAAAACACTGGAAATGGCACAGAGATCTCTGATGAATACGAAAGGGTTAGGAAAGTTTTTGGCTCATCTGCATGTCAAAATGCCACGCAATGAGGATGCCACCAACTCATCTGGGCGACTGTGCAAGGCCGGTCCATCGGTCAGTGAAGCGGGTGCAGAACCACATACCCCCTGCCTTCCCATATGACATACAAATACACGTTCCCACAGGATATGCAAGAAACTGTTCACTGTGGTTACTTGCAGAGCAAAGAAGACCTATGTTTTGGATCCTTAAAAATCACATGTCCACAGCATATACATTTTAAAGTGGATGAATCAAATGAAACAATAAAGAATAAACCATACGCGGTGTTGGTGGGCAGTGGAGGAGGTTTGGGGGCTGATCTGGGGCAGGTTCTGACGGCCACCCTATAACTGCTTTGGAAAACATGTTGCAGCAGTGCAAGCCGCAGCCCTCCGTGTGGAGGGACAGCGCTGTGGGGGTGGGGAGTGTGGCCAGATTCCCAGGGGAAGGCTCTCTTCCGAGGGACCAGGGTGCACACGGACTACTGAAGCAGACGTGTCAGATCGGAAGAGAGTCGGTCTTCAGGAGACGTTCTTCCTGTCTGCCAACTCCACCTTGAGCTTTCCCTCAAGTGCGTCTTTGGGGAGGGCAGGGGCAGGGCGAGAGGAGTGCTGGTCAGAGTGGGGAGACATGTTCCAGGGTCGGAGAAACGGACGCTGCCCGGGGCCATCCTCTCAGGCCCCGAACAGGAACCACGGGCGCTCTCTCCTGCGAGTCATCCTACGTGGAGAAGGAAGCTGTTCTCCCACGACCTCACTACTACTGATTTCAGTGTGTCCAAGAACTTTCAGAGAAACTCCTGCGTCTGAATTCTGAGAAGTTCTTCCACACACCCACCAAAGCCAACCCCACAGGGAAAGGCAGGACTGACTTGTGTGGCTTGCGTGTAACCTGGCCCTCTGGTCAGTTCTGAGCGGCTGGTGCTTCATGGTGGCCTGGGTTCTGAGCGAGGAAGGGCAGCTCGCGGAGGCGCAGGCGAGGAGACACTCCCCAGCCCTACCCAGAAGGGCACGAGCCACGGCGCAGGCTCCGGGACTGGCTTACCTGGCACCTTGTCCACGGACGCGAACACTGAGCGCTGAACCGTGGGGTCGCTGCTGCCCCGGCGGCCCTGGTCATAGAAGCGGAAAGGCAGGTGTTGGGTGGAGCTGGAGGAGCCGAGTCCAAAGCCCAGGACTTCGGTTGTTGGCTGGATCGGGAGGTCCAGGAGGGCTGCGGGCAAACAACACCACAGTCCACTCTCAGCATGCAGGACGGGAGGTGGGGAGAGTTTCCAGGGGCTGTGCCCTGCCGGGAAGCAGGCAGCCCGGAGCTGGGAGGTCAACAGGATGTCAAAGACCCACTGAGGTGGGGAGGGCATTTGGCACAGTGATCAAGCTGCCACATGAGCCCCAGAACCCCGTCCTGGAGTGCCTGGGTTCGAGGCCCAGTTCTGGTTCTGATTCTGGCTTCCTGCTAATGTGCGCCCTGGGAAGCAGCAGGTGCTAACTAATAGTAGGGGCACTGCCATACACGTGGGACACTGGGATGGAGTTTCTGGTTCCTGATGTCATGTTAGGCTGGCTCATTTGTGGAATGAACCAGTACACGGAAGATCTCTGTCTTCCTCTGCCTTTCAAATAAATAAAATCAATGAATAATAGTAAAAATAATAATAAAAATCTACTAAGGCTCAAAAAAACAACTGTGTGTTTGACAAGGGGTTCAGGCCAAGAATGGGACTAAGAAAAAAGGGGTCCCGGGCCAGTCTCCACACTGCATTCACGGCTTTGGTGTATAAAGGACTCTTATCAAGCAAGGCTTGCCTGCTGGTTCCATCTCAGACCCTAATGCATGTGGGACCAAGTCTGCCTTGAAAATTCTCTCTCTCTCTCTCTCTCTCACACACACACACACACACACACACACACACAGCCATCCCTCAGTACCTGTGGGGTTCAGGATCCTCTACCCAAACCAAAATCCGAGGATGTTCAAGTTCCTTATGTAAAACGGGACTGGCATGTAACTTATGTACATCTTCCCAAAGGTGTTAAATCACCAGACACAACGTAACTGCCACATGCACAGTCGTTAAACAATGTTAGAACAATGATGAGAAGGTCTCTATGCGCTCAGCGCACTTGTCATTGCGAATATGGTACCTGCGCACGAGCGCGTGCATGTGAGAGAGTACATCTGTGCGTGGACAGGTGTATTTATGGGGCATGTTTCTCTGTCTCAGCTGCTGTTCTCCCTTCCATAAACAAGTCTCATGTCAATTTGGAGGGGCTTTTAAAAATCAATTTAAGAAATACCCAAGGCGTTAGTTCCAACAGCCACTTTGCAGCATAATTCTCAATTTTCAAATGAAATATCTGGCCTTCATGTCGGCCATGAGAAATTGCTTTGCATTAAAAAAAAATCCCTCTGAAAATAAATCTTGAAAGAAAGGGACTGAATGATTTAAGTCACTCTGCACATTACAAAATGCTTCTGCAATGATTTTGGAGGCCAAGTTTCAGCCAAATGAGAGTAAGGTAGGGAGGACCACGCGGGAGGCAGGCCCTGTGCCTCGACAAGGAAGGCCTGCAGCTGGAAATAACCCAGCCGATGGAGTGTTTATTTTTAGGTTATTTCTTCAGAAATTCCCCCTGCCTCCACAGCGACCTCACGGGAATGGTTGCTGGTGCCTGGACCCGGCGGCCCGGAGCAAAGCTGCTTGTCGTGTGGGGGTTCGCAGGAGGCCTCCCCATTGAAGAGAACACCATGCGCCTCAGCGAACGCAACACCTTCAGTTCAGGGCCTCGCTGAGAACCCCCATCCTCGGCAAGCAGGGCTGCCCCTCAAGAGAGCCAGGAAGGAATGAGCTTGCATAGCCACCTTGCTGCCCGCGGGACTTTGGGGCAGCAAGCCTCAATCTGACCCTCAGTTTGCTCCTTTGTAAAATGGGTGGAACAGACCCTACTGAAGAGGACCCCAGGTGGGACAGGAGAGTCTAAGCACTTTGCGGCCACAGCCTTGGGAATAGCAGTGTGGAGGAGCGACACACGGTCCCTCACGGAGGGCTCCTGCCTGCCGGGGAGGGCTGGCTCTCAGACCTACAAACCAAACTCTTCTGGAAACCAGACACCGAACAAGTATGACATGAGGAGCAGCTTCCCTGAACTATTTGTGTCCGCTTCTAGAGGAGCGAGGGGGTTCTGGAAGTCCGCGCTGGGGCTGCTCTTGCCCCCAGGCCCAGAGGACAGCTGTGGGCCAGCCACTCACCAGCGATCCTCTGCATCTTCATGCGCCGTGCCTGGATGCGGCCCTTGGCCAGACGCTGCTTGGCGATGATGCAGCGGATGTGGTCCGAGAAGACGAAGGTGGCCTGCAGGATGGGGAAGGGCCTGGAGTGCGGGCTGGACGCGGGCTTGTGCACGGTGATGTTGAGGGCGCGGCTGTCATCCTCCACACCCGTCACCTGCATGTCCTGCGGGGAGGAACCAAGGCACAGCGTGCATGTCCTGCTCAGCGGCCGTGGATCTGAGTCTCAGCCACAGAGGGGCCCTGGTCAACCCCGCTCTGTAGGGGACCTCCAGAGACAAAGAGGGGCACAAACCAGACCAGGTCCAGTAGAAGACAGGCCAGAAGCCCAAGCGCTCCAAAGGAGCCAACGCTGCCTGTGGTGGCTAGGACCTGTTTCTAGGAGGAATTTTATTTTTTAATATTTATTTTAAAATTTATTTAAAATAAATAAATCTCATTTACTTGAAGAGCAGAGTCACTCACACACACACACACACACACACACACACAGTCTTCTATCAAATGGTTTCCTTCCAAAATGCCTACAACAGGTAGGGTGGGGCCAGAATGAAGGCAGGAGTGAGGAGCTCCCTCTGGGTCTCCCACACGGGTGCAGGAACCCAAGCCCTTGAGCCATCATCTGCTGCCTTCCAAGATGCACCGGCAGGAAGCTGGACCAAAAGTGGAAAAACGGGGACTGGAACCAGCACTCTGCTATGGACTGTAGGTATTTCAAGTAGCAGCCAAACCCTCCTTCTTGGGAACTCGAGTCAGATGCTGACCAAAAGGGGACAGCAGCCTCTTTAAGGGGCCACTGGCAACTTAGCAGGCAAACTAACAGTTCTGAGAAACCAGAGGTAACAAGCCAAGATCCCTGTCACCATCCGGCATGATCTCAGATAATCTCTCATTTCCTAATCAGTTTCCTCCTGCTTTCTCTTAGAAAGGGATCACTGGGATCCATCTGTGCGCCTTTAGGGGACTTCTGGTCTCTAAAGGAAGGGCCAGGGAGGGCTAAACTTAGCAGTGATCTGAAGAGCGCTCTGTGTGAAAGGTGCAATAGAAACCGGTGTCACACGTGTCCTGGGGAAAAGTCCAGTCCGAAACCTCAGAACAGACTCTACCAGAGCACCTGCTCCCCACAAAGCTTTGAGGTGACTGAGATAGCAGCACAGACAGGAGGCAGACACAGAGTCCGAGCGGCTGGAGGAAGTGGGGAAATGCTGAAGAAGCCGTACACCAGACGCACGCTGGGGATGGTTCCCAGCCATCTCCTATGGCACGGGCCCCTTGGAAATAATGCGCTGGAGAGGCCGACGTTGGATGAGACATTTTACACACTGGAAGCAGGGAGCGAGGCACGTAGCCTGACCTGACACACAGTGGCTACTGGAAGATGACCAAAAGCGCTGGTTGAAGTCCCAGTGGCTTCCTGCTAACTTCCTGGGAAAGCAGTGGAGGATGGCCCAAGTGCTTGGGTCCCTACCACCCACATGGGAGGCCCGGATGAAGCTCCTGGCTCCTGGCTTTGGCCTGACCCCATCCTGGCAGCTGCAGCCGTTTGGGGACTGAACCAGGAAATGGAAGACCTCTCTTTCTCCCTGTCTCTCCCCACCCCCGACAACTCTGCCTTTCAAATAAATAAATCTTGAAGAAAACAAAGAAAAACACAACTCCCTCAAAAACAAGGAAATGGATTAGTCTTTCAGGGACAGGAAAACACTTTCCTGACACCAAATTCTAAAGGAAACTGATCATAAGCTTTGATAAATACACATAAGTCACCTAACACACAAATATCTTACATGGAAGTCTTTTTTTTTTTTTTGACAGGCAAAGTTAGACAGTGAAAGAGAGAGACAGAGAGAAAGGTCTTCCTTCCATTGGTTCACCCCCCAAATGGCCGCTATGGCCGGTGCGCTGCGCAGATCCGAAGCCGGGAGCCAGGTGCCTCCTCCTGGCCCCCCATCCTCCACTGCACTCCCGGGCCACAGAAGAGAGCTGGACTGGAAGAGGAGCAACCGCGACAGAATCCAGTGCCCCGACCAGGACTAGAACCCGGGGTGCCGGCACCGCAGGTGCAGGATTAGCCTAGTGAGTCGTGGTGCCAGCTGGAAGTCTTTTTTAAAATGAGAAGTTCTGGCTAGCGCTGTGGCGCAGTGGGTTGAAGCCCTGGCCTACAGTGCTGGCATCCCATATGGGCGCTGGTTCTAGTCCCGGCTGCTTCTCTTCCGATCCAGTTCTCTGCTGTGGCCTGGGAAAGCAGTAGAAGATGGCTCGAGTGCTTGGGCCCCTGCACCCACATGGGAGACACTGGCTTCAGATCAGCGCATCTCCCTACAGCTGTTGCGGTCATCTGGGGAGTGAACCAGCGGATGGAAGACCTCTCTCTCTGTCTCCACCTCTCTCTGTAACTTTGTCTTTCAAATAAATAAAATAAATCTTTAAAAAAAAATAAAGTAAAATGAGAAGCTCTGGGCAGGTTTGGCATGGTGGTTTGGATGTTACCTGGGACACTTGCCTTCTATGTTGGAGTGCCTGAGCTTGAACTCTGGCAGAAAAATGCCATATGCACTTCACATAAAAACTTTCTAAGATTTTATTTATCTATTTTGAAAATCAGAGCTACACACAGAGAGAAGGAGAGGCAGGAAGAGAGAGAGGTCTTCTATCCACTGGTTCACTCCCCAATTGGCCACAGTGGCCAGAGCTGTGCCAATCTGAAGCCAGGAGCCAGGAACTTCTTCTGGGTCTTCCATGAGGGTGCAGGGGCCCAAGGACTTGGGCCATCTTCTACTGCATTTCCAGGCCATAGCAGACAGCTAGGTCGGAAGTGGAGCAGCCAGGACCGGAACTGGCGCCCATATGGGATGCTGGCACTGCAGGCGGCGGCCCCACCTGCTACACCACAGCACCAGCCCCCTGGCTTCACTTTCAATCCTGCTAACGTCTAACCTCAGAAAGCAGCAGGTTCCTGCCACCCACGTGGCAGACCCAGATTGAGCTCCTAGCTTCAGCCTGGCCCTGCTCCAGCTGTCCCAGGCATTTGCATTGGTGAACCAGCAGACGGAAGACCTCTGTCTGTCTACCTGTCTTTACCTTTCAAATAAAAGAAAAATAAAAATAAATAAAATGAGATTCTTCTGTAGTGGTTTCTCACATCATCCTCTGGAAAAGACGGTATAAAAATAGAAAGGCCTTGAGAAAGAGGACATTGGGGCTGAGGCTGCAGGAGCTTCTTCAAACACATGGGCGGTTCTTGTGGAGAACCAGCCACAGCCAGCAGGTCATCTTGTGGCCAGGCAGAGGTGAGTCAGCCTGGGCAGGGCCTTACAAGAAATCAGGACTGGGGGCCAGCACTGTGGTGCAGGAGCTGAGCCTGCAATGCCAGTATCCCCTATCACAGCGCCAGATCAAGTCCCAGCTTCTCTGCTTCGAATCCAGCTAATGTGCCCAGGAAGGCAGTGTGAGACGGCCCAAGGACTCCCGAAGGTAACCTGAATGGAGCTCAGGGCTCCTGGCTTGGTCCCACGCAGGCCTAGCTGTTGCGGCCACTTGGGGAGTGAACCAGTGGCTGGAAAATGTCTTTCTCTTTAGGTCTTTAAAAATAAATAAATAAATCTTAACAAAACAGAAAGGTATTAGGACCGTCGAGCAAAGACACAGACTGCCGGGATTTGTGGGGGGGAGGGGCGTGGCAAGGGGAGAGCTGGCGCGCTGTTCTCAGCCACGCATCACGCTGACAAATAGGACAAAACCTCAAGCTCCAACTCGGTCCCTGGCACTCAGAGCCTGGCTCTGCTGAACGGGGGATGAGGCAAGGGGCACTCTCCTGACTTGCTGGTGGCAACCATCGCTGTGGAGAGGAATGGGGCGGTCTCTAGCGACAGGTGCCCCCAGTTTCTTGGTTACCTGCCTAAGGAAGTCTTGCTCAAGTGCACCAGGAAATAACACTCCTGGTCATGGCAGTGTGGCTGGGAAAGCCTACACATGCCTTGCTACAGTTATGCAACTGAGTGAAAAAAGCACAGTTCAGAATATGGCCAATGTGACACCATAAATCATACTCTCAAGTAATAGGTTCGGTAATCCCTCAGGATCCACAGGGGCGTGGTGCTGGGAACCCTCCTGGCTACCAGAATCTACAGGTGCTTAGGTCCCTCTGTAAAATGGCAAAGTATTTGCATATAGCCTATGCAACACTTTCCCGCACCCTTTAGACCACCTCCAGATTATCTGTAATACCTAATACAGTGAAAACACTGTGTGAATAGTGGTTACGCTGCATCGCTTAGGGAATAGCATGAGAAGGAAAAAAAGCCTTTAAATGTTCAGCACACACACCACTGTCCCCCAGTAAGTCTGCAGATGCAGAAGCTGTGGATACAAAGGGCTGACTGCACACAATTCTAAAAAACAGTCCATGTCGTCGCATTCACCTATGTACTTGGCAGACGGCCAGGTGTGGAAGGACAAGACTGACAACACAGGTTATCTCCTGCAGGGGGGAGAGGACTGAAGGTTTTGGTCAGGGTGCCTTGGCCCATATCTGTGCACCTGTGCAAGGCTTTGGTGTTTTCAGGGACAAGTTCCATATATATTCTCTGGATCATTAAAAATTAGTTGTGGCCGGCGCCACAGCTCACTAGGCTAATCCTCCACCTTGCGGTGCCGGCACACCGGGTTCTAGTCCCGGTCGGGGCGCCGGATTCTGGCCCGGTTGCCCCTCTTCCAGGCCAGCTCTCTGCTGTGGCCAGGGAGTGCAGTGGAGGATGGCCCAAGTGCTTGGGCCCTGCACCCCATGGGAGACCAGGATAAGTACCTGGCTCCTGCCATCAGATCAGCACGGTGCGCCGGCCGCAGCGCACTGGCCACGGCGGCCATTGGAGGGTGAACCAACGGCAAAGGAAGACCTTTCTCTCTGTTGGTCTCTCTCACTGTCCACTCTGCCTGTCAAAAAAAAAAAAAAATTAGTTGTAAAATGGGGATGGGGCTTAGGATGCTGCCTGTGACCCTGGCATTCCACATGCACACCAGCTCGAGACCCCGCTGCTCCACTTCTGATCCAGCTCCCTGCTAATGCATCGGGGACAGCAGGGGAAGATGGCCTGAGTCCTCAGGCCCCTGCCACCCATGTGGGAGGCCTGGATGGGATTCTGGGCTTCAGCCTGCCCCAGACATCGCTGTTGCTGCCATTTGGGGAGTGAACCAATAGATGAAGACCTCTCTCTGTCTCTGTTTCTCTCTTCTCTCTGTAACTCTGCCTTTGAAGTAAGCTGTTTGTCAAGATGATGGCGTTTTGCGTGTGAGGGAAGAGATTCTGGAGCTCTCGGCCATCTTACCTGCAGAAGACCTGCGAACTTGACCACTCCCCAGCCCAGTCTGGACACATCCGGCTCCACCAAACTCATCTGGTAAATGTCAACAGCCAGGAAGCGCTGGGCCATGCCGCCATCCTTGGTGACCACTGTGCACGCGATCAAGTCGCTGTTGTCTGGGAGAGAGAGTGGAGGGCAGAATGAGGCTCGGTCCAGCTGCCCGGACTGAAGGACATGTCCAGGCTGCCTCTGGTTCTCCTGCGCTGCAGAGCTCAGTGTTAAGGGGTCAGGTCTCGTGTCACCCAGACCAGGGTTCGAGCCCTTCCTCTGAGTTATATTGGCTGAGTCTCTTTACCTCTCTGGGCCTCAGATTGCCGATCTAAAAAACTAGGATAATGCCTACACCCTCAAAGTGCTTCTCCTAAAAAGGAGCTCATACCACAGCTTAAAAACATCCAGCATCCCAAGACTCCTAGGCACACTGCCGCGCTTCCTTAAGACCTGGTGGCAGCTGACAGGTGGGATGGTGTTTGCCTCGACTACGAGAAGACAGGCAAACAGTCCCTGCTCTGTGCCAGGAACACCAAGTCCTCCCATGGTGCCTGGCAATGCACAGCCACGCACTCCACCACATGGTGTGGGATCCTGGGCACGGCACCCAGCCCCTAGGAAACACGGTTTTCCCATCTGTAAAATGGGAAAGCTGTCACCTGTCTTGAGGTGCTTGGTGCACTGGCTGAGAACAAAAAAGAAAATCATTTAGTGTGGGGTCTTGTGCACAGGGGGCTCCCGGCACAGGCCTGGACCCTGCCTCCCAATTCCACATCTAAGTTAGTGTGTGTCCCTGATGACTCAGGAAACAGGACTGCTCGAGATACCCCTGGACTACTTGGAGTTCCCTCCAATGGAATCCTCTGCCATGCACGCTTGAAATGAAATAGCTGAACCAGGAAACGACCAAAATGTCCCCAAATAGGGGAATATTTTGCGTATGCTTTTTTTCCCATTAGGCGGAAAATTATATACCCATTTCAAAGTTATGTTTAACCAGACTGTGAACAGTGGTTACCTGTGGGGAGGGAAGTGAGAATTGGGGGAGGAGTGTGGGGGGGGGAGTACGAATGGGAGAACTTTCATTTTTGTTCCATGTGCTGCTAGTATTGCTTCAGATGATTTAAAAATGATAAAGTATTCAAGATATTCTTTTGAAATACACCTAAAAACCCATATAAAATCATATTTACAAATAACTGTGATAACAGTGGAAAACATTATAATTTTAAACATTTTATTACTTTGAGTTGCTATGTTATGGGAAAAAAAAGTATTCCTACCAATAAGTATCAGTGAGAACAGTGTGCCCAAACATTAACAGAAGCTTGATTAGGAGGAGGGGTAAGGAGTTGGGGGTGGGATTTCCTTATAGCCATACACTTTATATCCACGACATTCACCCATTTTCAGTACCCACTTTGAGCTTGTTCTGCACTATTGTCTTCAGTTGTCGAATGTGTCACTCAGCCCACCAAGTCATGCTTGCAGCACTCGGACCAAAGACTGGCCTTAAATTTGCGAGGGGTAAGGAGGCAACACAAGATGCAGGTCCCAGACGTACAGGTAGTGACCTGGAGCGCAGGTGTTCTCCCCTCCCCCTTTCCCTTTCCGTCTGTATCTAAGGATGATGGGTAAGCTCGCTCCCCCTCTAGCGACGCCTAAGACACACAGCTCAGTTCTATCCTGAGGGTTAAGTGTAACATCTCCTGGATTCTTGCTTTGAGTGGATGTTTCTAGCCCCTCCTCCCAGCTTTTGCAGGCCTCGTGTTTGTGTCTGCTCCCCAGCAAGCCAGATGCCTCCAGAGTTGAACACCGGCACCAAATGTCTGTCCCGTCTCCATCTCAGTCTTCTGATTACCTAGAGCAAGACTCTTCTTGCCTTTCCCAACAGCCTGACAAAAGATTTTTTTTTTTGGGGGGGGGGGAGGATTTTCTTTTTGGAATTAAAAATATATTTATTTAAAGCAGGAAGACAGAGGGAGGAGAGACAGAAAGACAGATTTTCCACCTGCTGGTTTACTCCCCAAATGCCCACAACAAGCAGGGCTGAGTCAGGTGGAGGCTAGGAGCTCAGAACTCAATCTGGGCGTTCCCTGTGGGTGCAGGACTCCAGCGCTTGGGCCATCAATGCTGCCTCCCAGGGAGCACATCAGCAGGAGGCTGGATCAGAAGTGGGGGAGCCAGGACTTGAAACCAGGCCCTCCAATATGGTACGTGGACATCCCAAATGGTGGTTTAACCACTGTATCATTGCCTGCCATTAAAAGTTTTTTTAAAAAAATACGTTTTACCCTGAATTTTAAATTCCAAACTGGATATCTAGTGTTCTGTATTATCAAAAATAGACATGATCACATTCATTCTCATAAAAATTTTCCATGAGGTTTATTTTCTTTAGCAATACTGAAAACATTTTTTCAGTAAGAATATTTTACCTTTTAAAAATAGGGGGAAAAGGTAGCTGCTTTTTCTTCTCGCTCCTCTTTCCCTCTCAGACAGGACAAACTTGGCTGTCCTCTGTTCTCACGTGCACAGGTGAGGTCTGTCCGAGGGCTCGGCCTGGACAAGCAGTCACAATCACGCGTGTGGGCGACAGTGGGGTCTGGCCACAGGCGATCCCTCATACAGCCCAACTGCCTTACGGGCCCGGGGGGAGCACAGCGCTGCCACCTCCACCACAAAGCACAGAAAAGGAAGGACAAAACCCCAAAGCGGAACCGCTCTCAGCAGGGCAGTTGCGACATGAAAGCCCCGTGAGAGGATTTCACGAGAAGCCTGAAAGGCGGCCGTGGCGGGCCAGGGCGCTTCTCACGGTGGCGGGGGCAGTTAAGGAGAAACACAGTAGCTCTGAGAGAAGGCGTCCTTCGGCGAGATCAAGGAAACGCTGGTTTGAGGTGAACTCCTGTGGGCCACTCGGCTGTCCCCTCCCAACCCCCAGCTGCTTACCCGCTGGCTGCGCCCATGCCCATCCGGGGCTCTGAGGGACAAGGCAGTTTGCCTGCAGACCGTCACAGCATCTTGGTGCGGGGGAGCAGCCCATGAGGGTGATGCGGGGAGCTCAATTTTGCCCGCTCTCTAAGGCCTTGGCATGCAGCCTTCCCCCACGCACGTGTGGATGCTGCCTGCACTCCGAGGGAGCGTGCTGGGTGCTGAGGTCCTGGGAGGGTCACTGGCACGTGGGAGGGACTCAGCGGCAGGCATCTCTGTCGCGGTGTGCAGCCGCCTCGGCAACCTCCTGCCCGACTCTTGGGAGCACCTGTGGCAGAGAGGCCAGCGCAGGTGACAGGTGTCATGAGGCTCTGTGGTCACCTCTCAAGACACCTTCCAGATCTCACTGCCCATCTGCATCTGCTGGTTCCCTCTCCAACCAGCTTCACCTCAAAAGGGGTGGGGCACAGGACTCTACCAACAAAACTGCAGAACAGAATGTGGGATCTAAGAGGCAGAGATGAACAGAGCAGTGAATGGGAAGGAGTCAAAGACTGGGGAATGGAGACAGCCAGCAAGCACACCCACAGCTGCTCAGCCTCGTGAGAAATCAGGGACTAAATCAAGACACGATACTATCTTCTACTCACTGGGTTGGCAAAAATAAAAAAAAAAAAAGATAACATCAGGTGTTGGTACGGATGAAGAGAAACTGGCACTCTCAACAGCTGCAAGTAGGAGAACAAATCAACCCAGCCATTCTGAAGGGCAAATTAGCATTATTTATTAAAACTGAAAGTTTCACATCCTATGACTTCGTGATTGGTATATTCCCAAGAAAGACGCATGCGTGGGCCAAGAGATATCAAGAGCAACCTGTGGGTCTATGAAGACCCACCTGTCCAGCAATGAGGGAAAACCTCGGTAAAACATGCTCGTTCAGTTGGTGCAAATCTGCATGCCAATGGCGTGGAAGGAACCGGCAGGTCACGCGATACCGTCGCGTCTCCAGAGGACAGCGCTGGGTGGGAAGCAAAGTCGAATGCTGACTTTCGTGCATGTGTGACGTGCTCATTTGCAAAAGGGAAAATGTGCTGTCTGCATACCTCCAAGCTCTCATGAGGCTACATCCTCCCTGCCTTCTCCTTCACAGAGGGCAGCATGCCACACGTTGCCTGTGTTATGCTTTTGCTACCGACTGTGTATTATGGCGACACACTGGCAAAGAGAGCCTCCTGGTACTTCCTCTCTCATGGCAGGGAAAAAGACCACGAAGAAAGAAAAAAGACTATTTTATTAAATTACAGCCTAAAGCTTGTTCTTTTGATAAAAAGGGAAATCTAAGGGCTAGAGAGTTTCTAAAACTAGTACCAGTCTGAGACATTTTCCTTGGCATAACAGAATGGGCCAGTGGGGCATGGAAATGGGTTTCCTGATGGCCCGTACTCCAGAAAGGTGAGTACAGCAGTGAGTCCTGCCCTATGTGCTCTTCTTAAGCAGCTGAGTCTCTTCCCTTCAAGTGGTGGGGTCCACATCTTTTCTCCTGGACTTAGGAGGGTCTCTGTGATTGGCTGGACTTAAAGAGTACCACGGAAGTGATGCCATATGACTTCTGAGGTCAGATCCTAAAATGTTCTGGAACCTACCCACCATGCTGTGGGGAAGCCCAAGCAGCCATTGAGACGGTTTAGGGAGAAGCAAGGTCCCAGGCCCACAGCCAGGCCCTCGTGGATCCTCGAGCAGAGACTGAGCAATCTGCACGGAACCCTGGGCAAGTTAAACATGTGTGAGCGAATGAGCACCGCTGTGTTAAGCCACTAGTGTGTAAGTGGCTGTTTTCAGCACTAGATCATTACAACAGTGATTTACGTTAATCCATGCTGTATCCCGGCAGACTTAACATGCTACCCTGCTTGAGGCACCACCTAGGGCCCATCCACCACATCTCAGTAGGCCTGCTGGGGAGAGCGCTCAGGCTGGCTCCTCTGCATGCTCAGAGGCTTTGCAGGATTAAGCAGAACGAAGGGAAACTCATGCAGAAACTCCCAGCAGAATGGAAGCGTGGGGGACGAGGGGAGGAAAGGAAAAGGCATGCAAGAGCTGCCTTGCCAGGAAACGCAGAATTAGAACAACTTGGCCTGGTACAAACAACCTGGCTTCTGGAGCCACGGAGACCAGCCCCCAACCCCAGCTC